AGTCAGAGTCCTAATCTAATCCTCTAATAACAAACATGTATGCATTACTTAAATTAGCTCTTTGTTCTGCCTTAAAAAATGTACAGTAAGCTAATAATGATTAATTTATGTACATTTCTGAAAAGCATAACTGATAACATCACTCTGAATAGTAAAGTAGATGCAATGCATTTTCTGTGAAAAGCGCTATACAAATAAATTGGAATTGAATTGAAAGTCTGGACTAGCCCACTATGAGTCGCGCTGAAAGCAGGCAGGCACGCAGTTTTGTAGCTCGCGTTTACACTTGCGTGCATGGCGGGCCCGTGCCGCGGTTCGCGTGAATGTGAAAGCAACACGGACTCGGGAGCGCTTGTTCAGGAAGTTAAGTAACCTGCCCATGCGTTTTAGCTGATTATGATGCATTTAGTTAAATAAAACACATGTAAGGGATGATAGTGTTGATGATTTACCTTGGATACGCGAGAGTTGAGTCTGCAGTGTATTCGCGCATTGCGCATGCAATCAGGGCAACACATTTGGAAATCCACTGTCTCCTCAAAAGAGTCCGTTTGAAAAACACAATATATTGACCCGCGTTCTGTTTTCTATCATGCGCCGTGCACGTTTGCGATGGCATAAGATGCACGCAAACTCAACAGGGTTCGATAGAATTGAGTGTGAAACCAGACCAACGCTGCGGGGGGCGCCGGGAACAATCGCGCTCGCGCTCGGACCGCAGCAAACGAGCCCACTGTGAAAGCTCCGTCACCTGCCTCCGCAATTTTTCATATCAAAGCAGTGAAGGCGGGCGGGAACGTGAAGGAAAATGATAGCAGATAAACCAGCAGGGTGCGCACGGCACACAGACTGGTGTGTGGAGGTGAATTACAGTGAGCCATTTGTGACGGGAGACCAAAAATAAATAGCGGTCAATAGTAAAACGACACGTCGACTAAAAAAATAGCCGTCGACTAATTTGCATGGTCGATTACGTCGACAAATTCGACTAATCGCGGCAGCACTATTATTTTACAGCACGTCTTTTGAATTAGCATCTTACAGTCTATGATTAGCATTCAATTTCGAATCACGTCACATGTAGGTGTACAATAGTGATGATGATGATGTGATGTGGAGAACCATGCATTCACATTAATAATTGCATGACAATTTGTAATATTGTTCTTATTATTACCATTTACCATTACCATTTATGATTTTTATTATTAATGACGCTTATTGTTATTTAGAAGAATAATGTCGTTATTATTATTATTTAAAAGAAGAAGAATGTAATTTTCATTATTTTGTCAGTGAATTATTTTTTGGTCATTGAAAGTCTTTCATTACCGACCCCAGTCCGTGCGCACCTGCTGGGGATAACCCTGAAACGTCAGGGTAAAGCGCACAGGCTTGCAACTAAAGGAATACGCTTACAAATCAAATGCTTTGGTAAAGTCACACAAATTAAAAATTGAAGTCCATGTTGCACAAAAATAAACACTGAAGTTTATAATTACTATATTGTTGTTGTTTTTTTACTGTGGGTCATAATATATCATATCTTTTAGTTTGTCAGTGCGTTTTGTGGTGTTAGGGATTGTTTTTCTGCTTCTCTGCTTACAAAGTTTATTTTACGATTTAGATTTTGACTACAGGCTCTTAGTACTGTACAGTAAGAAAGACATTTCCCTCCCCCGGAAATGAACATTTCTTAGAGTTAATAAACAATTAACACCGAGTGTTCATGGGACGAACAGGTGGATTGATTGTAATATTAATTTTACTACATTAAGTTAATTCTATTAACTGATCCAAATATTCATAATCAATTATAACAAGTTATGATTGATTATTAATATTTCTTTAGAGCTAATTTGCTACAGTCTGTTCTTCCCCGCTTGGATTTTTTTTAATTCCAAATGGCTCTGCTCTGGGTTGCTCCCTGCCTCGTCTCCTCCATGGCTCTCCTTCTGCCGACTCCACCATGGACTCTTCCTCCAATTTTCCCTGTGGATTTTTACTCCCATTCCTCCTTGGACTCTCCTCCTATATCCCCATGGACTCTTTGTCTGGTATGGTCTTTGTTTACCAAATCTGTTAAGTGTTTTAGCCCCTGAATTTACTCCTTGTGTTTCCTGCTTTGGATTATCTTCGCTTTGTTTATAAATAAAAGTATAGCTGCAAGTAGATCCTCCTTTCCTTATCCTCTTTGCTGTCTGCACTGTGGCACTTCTTCCCCCACAGATATCACTGCAATATTAAAAACGTCTTGTTCTTTTGAACGGTCTGTTCTTCAATGAAACCTGAAAAAAAGTAGGCTACCAAATTCCACAAAAATATTAAGCAGCACAACTGTTTTCAACATTGATAATAAGAAATGGTTTTGAAAATCAAATCAGCATATTCAAATGATTTATGAAGGATAATGAAGACTGGAGTAATGATGCTGAAAATTCAGCTTTTCATCTCAGGAATAAATGATATTTTAACATATATTCAAATACAAGTCAGCTATTTTGATCTGTACAATTATACACACCATAAAATGTTTGTCATGCTATATACAAATACATATTAAATTCCTTACATTTCAAAAGTGAGCAGGTTGTTTTCAGCTTGATGTTTGTGCCCTACTGGTTGCTCCTTTTCTTAAAGCAGAATACCTGATACCCTGCTCGAAGGTCTGCATTTGCCTTGGTTTCACCTTGGGACTTCTCTTTCTCTCTCTCTCTTCTTGCCCCCTTCTGTGTTTTTATGTGGCCACGGCATAAATCGCTTGGTTTGAGTCATGTTACAGATCAGCATAAATGAATTACAAACAGTCATTTGCCAGGTTAAAATTAGACTGCTGCTGTCATTGACTGTATTTTCATTTTCAACACACACACACAAAGAGAGAGAGAAAGAATGTTTTGCCTCTAACCAAGGAAACGAAACCACACTATGCTGAAACAGCAGTCCTGAAGTTCTAAACTCCAGCTAAACTTTTCAAGACCCGAGTCAATTCACAAAAGGCAGTACAAATTATATTCAGGCAACAGACTGCTTTTCTGTGGTAACATACAAACTTTTGACAGCTTAATTTATACATTCTAAAATTTGCCCAATTTTTTTTTTTTGTCTTCAACACAGCACAAGAGATCCTAAGGTTCATGCATTAGCTTATAGTAAATACAATTTTGTTGTCCAAATTGAGATCCTTTTTGAAAGTGGATTTAATAGATAAAACAATAAAGGTTGCAATTAAAGCTAAACATATTTTCTTACAAAAATACATGATAAAGATTTATAAGAACCATCTTGACTTGCATTAAATAGAGTTTGCAATTAAAGTCTGCAAGGAACATGCACATTTAATTTCTCAAAAGATGAATGAATAAGTAAGGTAAACATCTTTAAACAATTCGTTTGGCATGCTTGAACTCCTCTAATGAGAACAGCCTGTTTTTCTCTCTAAAAGATTATATGAAGTCATGAACAAGTGCATTAAAACTTTGCAATGGCTGGAATATAAAGACGTATAGTATGTTTAAGTTTTAAACAATATATATACACACGAGCATGTTTACTGAATATAATCAACATGTTTTGACCTAAAGAACAGTCATTGTTTTTTTGGTTGTTGTTTTTTTTTTCATCCCCCATATTAACAATGATTCGGTGGCGGCTGTGGTCACACAGACAGAAACAGAAAAACATGCAAACATGAGGAAAAAATTTAAACTCTTTAACAAAACCGCTCGTGTTACCTCAGGCTATACATAAACATCTGGAATAGAGAATTTAGCCTATTCTCTTGTCACATATGCACAAAAGACACATGCACACTAGTTTTCCATAATAATTAATCAAGTTATAGAGGTGAATAAATAAATAAATAAAAAACATCTTCCATAAGAGAAGTTATCAAATTATGCATCCATTGACCACAAACAGTTTTAATAACTTCTTAACATGGATGAAGCCTGTTGCTTCAACAGACTTTACATGCATATGAAGCATTGCTTTAGCTTAAAATTAAGTATTGAATATAATAAATAAATAAACATACAGGTAACACTTTAGATCACAGTTTCCATGTTACTTTTTTTATTGTTTACCAAGTAATTTGGCAATTTACTTAAAGTAACATGAGATTGAACCTCAAGGCAGCTTTTGTATTGTGTACACCGGGAACTTCAATACGTCCTTCAAGTGCCTCAAAATCTTTATTTTATGATGAGCATTGGGTTTTATTTAAAACATAGCCTATAGGCTCAGAGAACTAGGCCTCCACTTTGAAAGGTTTCTTAAATGTTCTCCAGAGGGAATCTGAGAAACTCAAAATGCGTCTCAAGTATCTTTTTTTCAATTTTGAAGTGTATAATTCACTTGCTATAATTGTAAAACCTAACCAACAGTAACATGATCCCGTAATGTAAAGTCGGACCTAATGAGGTTGAGCTGTTTTCTCTCAAGCAGACATAGGCTAAATTAATAGATTGTAAATCTATAACAGAACTGAAGTCTGGTTTTGATGAAGGAACTGCAATAGCACCACATTTTTTTCGAAACTGTAGGCTAAGTATTCACAAACATACATTTATAGCTGATTTACTTTCGATCAACTTGAAAACATAGGCTAGCGTATTATTCAACATGTTTAACGAGTTTTTAATACCCATGGCATAACATAATATTAAAATTCTCTGACATTCCTATTTGAATGAGACCGAATGAAACTCGACTCGGTTCGTTGAAACCCAATAAACTAAGCGGCGAGGAATTTCAGGAGGAACGCGCGCATCACACTTAATTCATCACGCTCGTGCATGCGAGATGGAGAGAAACGACCGTTATTAATCCAGCGGAGCTCGCGCGCATCCGGCGGGAACATACCGTCGCGCATTCACACACAACACCGTCATTTAAATGTCACTCAAACTCACCACGACGAAGACAGTAACTAAGAGTCTTTCTAAGAAAAAACTTACAATGAAGCATCTATATTGTGAAATCTTAAAGAGTTCACTTACGTGGTCCATGGTGAGGCGGTCCGCCAGTTAAATGCTCTCCGCTCTCGGCCCGTGATTCTCTGAGGAGGGAGCATGTCGCTCGCGCGTACCGGAGTCGACGACCCCGATAACCACCCCCAGCGGACCTCGGACCCCTGGAGTCGTCAAACGATCCGCCGAACTCGTGAAACACTGCTATCCGTCCCTCAGGTCCACCGGTGGGACTCCTCCCGCTAACGACGGGTTGGGTCTGAGGGAAAGAGAGAGAGTAAAGGGAGCGAGTGACAGATAAAGAGAGCTTCAAGTGGCGAAATGTACAGCTATGGCAGAAAAAGGTAGGTTTTAACATGTCCTTACAATGAAGAATGCAGAAACCACGTCCTGGAGGTTGAGGAACAGTCCAAAAAGCTTGTGAACAGTCTTGTTCTTATATTTGAGACACAAGCAATGATGTCAATACTAATGAAAACGGACATAATCCATGCCTGTCTTACTGTGATCCTATAATACTGAGTTCATTACAGACTGAGCACACCTGTCTCTCCTCCCTCTCTCTTTCTGATTGCCCCGATGTCATTGGAGGAGAGCAAGAAGTACAATCCGTTCTATGTGCCCTTGTTGTTCTTCCCTGATGAGGCAACTTGATGCCGAGACTCTGAGCACTTTGTGACTGCTAGGAGCACAAAGATATCTTTGTGTCAAGATACTGTAATACCAGGGGAGCAGCAGGTAAAAAAAGCAGACAAGAGTAGCATACAAGAAAGAGAAGGATGATTGCAAAGTGAGCAAAGCGTCGAGGTTCTCAGTGTACTGAATATCTTTGCCTTTATTTAGAGTGACTTGCAATTATTTTAAAGTCAGATTTCTTTCTGTTTTTTTTTTTGTTTTTTTTGCCTCCACCAGATGCTTAGCAGAAACATATTTTAAAATAATGATCTATATATAGAGGCCTAAAATGGTAAACAAATTGTAATAGTGAAAATTAAGGAACAAAATAGGAATCTGTTATGCATTTTATTAACACCCTGGTGAAAATGACTTTGGGTAAACAAAAGGCCTAGATGTGCACAAAAATGTAAATACAAATAGGGGGGCAATAAAGTATTATTTAGATAAAGTATTGTCACCAGCTGGTTGCAGCAGAGATGAAACAGGATCTAAGTGCAGCAACTTTATTACAAAAAAAACCAGAATCTCAGGAATATGACCAGAACAACCAAACTTAACACAACATAGACCTTACAAAGACCTGAACGAAACACAGGGTTTAAATAGACAGCAACTGAGGAGCTAATTAACAAGACACACCTGACCAGAACTAACAATCAATTAGAAACCATAGTGACAAATAGGGAGAGACAAACCAATTAACAGACTGAAAACCAACCATGAGCAGAACAGATCAAAAACAAACTCTAAAGTGAACAAACAAACGCAAACCGTAACAAATCAAATTTGATGTGTCGTTCAGAGACTTACGGGAACATGCTTTACTTATTTCACTTTACATTATAAGTAGATTTTTCCCTTATAAAAACAGTTTAAGAATACTGCAAGGTATTGTCTTGTTGAATATAAAAAAATATTAGGGCTGTCAAAAGATTAATCACGATTCATCGCATCCAAAATAAAAGTTTGTGTTTACATAATATATGTGTGTACTGTGTATAATTATTTTGTACATAAAATGCACACACGTATATATTTCAAAAAAATATATTATTTATATATAAAATGTTTATATTTATATAAAATATACATTTATATATAGGCTACATTCAGTCTATATACAGTATGCAAATATTTCTTAAATACACATGCATGTGTGGGTATTTATGTATTAAAAATAATTATACACAGTACACACACATATATTATGTAAACACAAACTTTTATTTTGGATGCGATTAATCGTGATTAATTGTTTGACAGCCCTAAAAAATATATATTATTTAGATTATTTAGAAATTCATACTTTTTAATTCCAAATATCAGAACTGTTTACTATCCAAGTATCAACAGCTGAATAAAACTTCTGTCCATAAATAACATCGTGCTGCATCGCTCAGCACTCCCTGCTGTCATTGCATTCACATGCATTAGAAAAAAAAAGCAGCTTTCTATTTAGTTTCATTTCAGCCCACAGACAGATCAATACCGATGACATCATCAGTAAAAGCCTACAGGCTGACAGTTTTCCACCAATCGATCGGGCGGGCTCAGAGATGCCTGCCAAATCGCCTGGGAAAGCTCTGCTGCCACAGCAACGGCTCCAACGGGATGCATGACAGCCAGAAAACCATACGACGCCCACACAGAATTCCTTAGCACTGTTCATCTGTGCAAAAAAAGCAATGGCACATACCGTTCACCATCACCATACAGCGGTTTCTGATATCTGTGAACTAAACTTGAGGACTTTTAGAACAAAAAAAAATCACCTTTGTTTTTCTTGAACATGTTTTTTTATATTTGTCTTGCCATATTAGTTCTCGACTTGACACTGAATCGTATTTCAGTGTGTGTGTGTGTGTGTGTGAAGCAGTGTGCTCCTAGTATACCAGTACAAATTGCTGTGATTTGCATGGCAGTAAATGCAATATTAAACCAGTGTGAAAACATAATCATGAATATGAAGGACAATATTTTAAGATTTGGAGAACGGCAGCAATTATGACACTACATGTTAGATTAGCATTAGTAAAGTATTGGATACAAAATTGTGCCTTGAGCATCTCTCTATAAATAGCTGAGAATGAGACAGAGGGCGTTCAATAATTCAATTATTCTACCACATTAAAAATGAGAGAGAGCGAGACAGAAGGCCTTGCCTACAAAAGTGCCTTCAGTTTATTCCCAGACACACACAAAACCCACAAAAATGTTGTGCTCGTTGCACCCGGTTGATTGAGATCATAACAAAGAAAACTCGGGTATAATGAAATAGTGCAAAGTCATAAATATATCAAATATGAAACAAGACAATGCACACTCTCTGTAAACAGAAGTGATGAAAATAAGAGTGCACTACGAGGTGGCTAATTTCTACGAATTCATACGAATTGGTAGCCTGGCTGCCAGCCCGAACCCCGCCCACAACATTTTTTGATCGGGAAGTTCGGTCTGGACTCGCTCCATTGAGGAGTAATTATGATCGGTTCAGAAATCGTCGGGCCAATCAAATTGCCAGGGCGGGCTTTATACGATGATGGACAGATGATCTGCAGGGACGTAATCCTCACGTTATCAAAGAGCGCTTGGGTTGAACTGGTTTCCCTCACAGATGACTGCAGCTGGAGAATTGAGATGTATAGATTCCGCTATCGCGTCTGTTGTAAAAGAAATCGACAGCGCATTCATTTTAAAAGACGAACATAGAACTGCAATCAAGGCATTTGTCGATCGGAAAGATGTGTTTGCCGTCCTTCCTATGGGATTCGGCAAAAGTTTAATTTATCAGCTGGCTCCGATGGTAACTAAGAAGATGGGACGCAATGAAAACCCTGTGGTCGTTGTGGTTTCTCCTTTGGTCGCACTCATAGAGGGCCAAGTAAAAGTAATTTTACACTCGTAATTTTACTTCTTCCAGCGTGCGTGCATTTGAGTTCTGTAGTTGACAACTGTGCTATGCAAAGTAGTTGACTTACTGCGTTGCTCTCATTGGTTGTAGGTCTATCCAATTGAGTGCAGAGTTTTGTTTTTTCCTGGTTCGGTTAAGACACGCCTCATAATCAAAGCCCTATGAAGCAGTATCAGACTCACATTCTGACTAGAATATGAGTATGACGAAGTCAGGCTAACGAATTGGGCAACTCGGAAAATATGTACGATTTAGCAAAAAATCTTAAAAATTTGTACAAGTGAGGTCGTATGAATTTGTACGAATTAGCCATCTCGTAAAATACGTACGAATTGCCGTGAGATTTGGTTGAATAAGCAGATGGAAAATATCAACATGGTTTTGTTTGTCATTTGCATTGTAAGTAAATGGTGTTGAAGTGTGAAAATGTGGCTTGCCTTTTACATGAGTGTATAAAGCTTACAGTTTAACATATTAAACTCTTAAACTAAAGCAACCAGGACTCTTTTTCCAGTGTGTGTGTGTGTGTGTGTGTGTGTTTTAACACAGTGATGTGGGAGTACAGCTGGGCCTTAGTGTTTGCTGATCCAACAGTGACGCTCAAATAAGAGCCAGACATTTCCCTCTCCCTCCTTCCCCTTTTCTCTAATTTACTTACACTTTCACCTCTTTAAGTAAGATGTTTATTGCTGTAATAAACAGTATATCCCAGAATCACCCTGAAAGGTAAATTATTGTGAATGTGGAATGTAAAGTGTCACTAGACGTAGATTTGCTACCATGGAACTAATGACAGCATGAATTAAGCTTACCCGTGCCAGTCTGTGAGCGCATGCCGGGAACACGTGAATATCCTGGTGGATTTCAAAAGACCGTCTTTGACTGTCATATGTGATTTAACATCATAACTTCTTGCCAGAAGTTCATAATGATATCCAGCAGACTGACCAAGCTCGGCAAAATACTCCCCCAAGTCCTGTTAAATCACCACACACTCTCCCACTACAGCCATTAAAGTCAAACATCACCTATAACATTCAGTGAACCAAAACACACTCACACACACACACACACACGGGCAGAAGTAGAAGCAGGCTCTCAGTGGTTCAATGTAAGCATGTGCATGTGTGTCCTGTGGTTGAAGTAGTGAATAATGCAACAAGCTCTTTAAAGTTTTATACAGGAAAAAAAAAAGAAGAAGTCTCAGAAACCAGATCTGGATTCCTCAATCACTCTCTTTTGCACTAAAACATGCATGGCCACTATGACACGATACAAAATAACATGAATAATTGAAAGAGAGGCAAAAGAGGGACAAGAAAATTTAAACCCTTGATTTTCGCATAAAAACAGGGTGAATAATGAGAATGAGATAAACAGAAATAAACAACACTTGAGATGCATTAAAAGATGAAACCAGGTTTTCAGGCCACGTACGTAAACTTTCCTTATCCCAAACAGCATTAGCATCATCACTAAACTTGACCCTGTTAAACATGCCAAAAATGGGCAAAGCAATTCAGATGATTAAGACACATGAAGTGTAAATAGCCTCTAAAATCAGAGAGATCAGTTCTGCAACAGCAGTCTGATGAGGAACATTTTTCCGGCCCAACTAAAACAAAAAAAGCAAAGTTGGCACGTTAACACCGTTCTCACTTCAAGCATTTTGGAAACTATTCTATGACTTCCTTTTTGAGTCTTACTCATTTTTCTCTTCACAGCCAAAAATAAATCTCAA